CTATAGGAATTCCTATAGGAAATTCCTATAGGAAATCTATTCCTATAGGATCCTATAGGAATTCCTATAGGAAATTCCTATAGGAATTCTATTCCTATAGGATCCTATAGGATTTTTTCGTAAGGGATGCTTTTTTCCAGGTAGGTTCAGTGCTCATAATGTCAACTGTAATGGTAAAATGTGTCCGAAATTGTTTGCATGTGCCAATAAGTACATATGCAGATATTTTGCTGGCTCCAATTCCTTGCAATTTTAATTGTACAAAATTTTAATATTCTCTTTATTTTGTCCATTCAGACAACAACCAGAAGCATGTAGGACCATTAGATGAACAACTGTCAAGGGAAAATTTAGACAAAATGATACAAGTCAGTCAGATGATAGCGATGATGATAATGGTGAAGATGGAGGCGATGAAGAGCATGTGCTGTGCCAAGGTATTGTGTAATATGGTATTGTGTAATAAATTAGTTTTATCAGTATGAAAACATGCAAAGAACTATATCAGATCTAAATCAAACAATGCTATTATTGTCTTAATTGTGGCCATTTTAAGTATTCTAATTTCTATTATTTTTTCATATCAGTCATATTACAGATGATAGCTGCAAGTTCCCAAGCTTTGTTGAATTCCTTTCACAGTTGTTGTTGCTATTTAAGATCTGCATGATTTGTCATGAAAGTCAGCCTCTTTTGGAAGTGGTGTAAGTTGGGACAGTGTTGACCATAAAAGGCAAACATCAACATCCATCTGTCTGGGACAAAAATCGCTGCAGGAAAACGTTTTGTTATCATTTGGTATCTCGATGGCAGGATCATCAGCAAGCAAAGTATTACACATAATTGCTATTCTTATTATGTTTGTTAATAAGAATAGTAATTAATATACAATAAATTGTGATGTGGAATTAATCAAAACTATCAAGACAAACATAGATGCTCAATCTCAGATGCAACTACGATCAGTCTCGGAACACAACATAGAGCTTCAACTACAATCAAGCCATAGAAGATCGGCATCATTTGAAAAATTGGGTGAAGTGGTCCACTGGTCATTGTGGACTTCATTCCATTTGGCGATTTACTAACATATCGACAAAAAATGAAAGTCACATTACAAGAGTTGATGGGCTTCGCAATTACCTCTGCACAAGGCATGAAGTATTTATCAATGAATGGGCGGGTGTAATTTGCAGAATGCGACATCTGTACTTTCGCTCAGCTGTGATACGTGAAAGCTATTCGAAAGTGTTTGGGTTAGAGTCACACAACAGTGCTGATGACTTGGTGAAGCTGGCAAGGAAGGTAATCAATGAGTTGGACGATTGTTACACCAATAGCTTCTCTGATCTGAACCAAATGCTATCCAAATGCTTCGACTTCGCGAGACTATTTGTTGGATTATGTGGAAAAAGGACTGAACACAGAATCACAGTGGACAACAATACCAAAGCATTCTCCGAGCTTGGGGCAAATGAGTTTTGTGATGGTGTGTCACCTACGTCTCACAGATGACACACATATGCAACAAGAATTTGGAGATAGGCGTTCCAATAAAGCGCTCATGTCCATCGTCTGGGGTTGTATGTTTCCCACATACTTCTGCCAATTCTTCAAAAAGATCATCATCAAAAGATAAAAGAGATTTCTCTTTGAAAGACCTGGTTGTCTCAGGTGTGACCATGAAAAAGGTCCTGGAGGGCACCAGACAACACTTTACGCTTTCAGAGGTCTTCGAAGTAGAGTTGAGCAATGGCGAGAAGATGGAAGTCCTTTTTGATGAAGAAATTGTTATTAAAGGGGTGGGGGTACATGTTGTGCACCTTCAAAAAATCAGAAAAATTGAAAGTGCTTAAAATAATCATTAAGTATCAAAAATATGTTTAAAACTCATCATAATAGGCCTTTTTTCTGTGTTGGTGTATTACTCAGGTGAATATGATGCTTGTGATGTTAATACTCTGAGTGTATATCGACACCGGGCAAGCTTGAGAAAATGCCTGTTTACACTTTTTTCTGGTAAAACTATGCCTTTTTATGAAGGACATCGAAATTCTGAATCCTGTCGCCATGGAAACGAGATTTTTACGCACTTTGTTTTGTCCTTTTCTCCCTTTGGTTTTGAATATTTTGGAAGAAATTTGAATAAACTTGATCGGTCACCACAGAGGGAGTTATGAGTTTAAGGCCTGGTTACTTAGCAATTTTGTCATCATTTTCACTTAAGGTAGTACTGGAGTCTCAAGTCGACTCTTCCAATCGTAACAGTTTTTGGTCGGTTGGAAGATATAGTAACAACAAACTTTCATGCCAAGTTTTAACTCGCTGCGTCTTGTACGAAACAAGATTTCGACCATCAAACTTTCGTATGGAATGGCAAATGTTCGCGCCAAATCAGGACATTAAGGCTGAAAGACAATGTATTTGCGTTTGCTCTCCTACAGCGAGTTTTGACAGAATTTTACACCTTCGATTGGTGTTGTGATTTGATACCCCAAACTCATGTGGGTATTTCGCACTTTTCCAGTTGTCCTTGCGCTTGAAGAACATGGCTGGTAAGTAATAGTTGAGACAGATAACTGTAGTCTTGCTTTTGTGATTGCCCAGAAGAAAGAACATGATGATAATTGACCGTTATTTCTTATATTTAGAATCAATCAAAGCAACTACAGTGAGCGGCACAGGCAAACCCAAAAGGGATTCAATGCGCCATCTGGAAGAAGCGGTGCAATCAGCAACGTGAGTGTTTTTATTTTTATATCTTTATGATTTAGAATATTCTAGTAATAAGTATGCTGTTTTTTATACAGCGGCGAAGGAATACCAGGGGCCTTAGAACATCTGCTCACATATCGGTGCAAAGAGAGCGATATGGAAAGGAGGCGCTTCGTGTACCGAAGCATGTTTACCTTCTTGTCGGTAAGTAATGAAATAACCGTTCTGCGGTTGTAATATGTCTAATATAATCGTTTGGAAGAAAAGGAATCTACTGTAGACATTTTTTTGCCCTTGGGTTTTGTTCTTTGCCATTGTAAGGGGTAAGGCAGGATTGTTTGAAAGCCAAAGGCAAAGCGAGCACGTGGTGAGAGCTGGTATGTGCGGTATTGTGATTTGCACTTTACTCGACTTGATATAAAAGCAATCTGCTACTTCTATTTTTCAGAGAGAACGAGCGGTGGGTAACGGTGCCTCGCTGGTCTACCCTCAAGAGATCCTTGATGCTGTTAGGGCACTTTACCCTGACGGTATCAAGGACTACCCGCCAAGGGCAGGGAAGGTAAGCATTAGAATAACGATAGTTTCTCGTATATAGACATATATGTGTAGGTATGTGTGCTTATGTGTATGTATGGCTGTGTGTATGTGTCTCTGTTTGTTTGTCTGTCAGTATGTGTATCTGTATGTCTGCCTCATTGTGTGTGTGTGTGTGTCTGTCTCATTGTATGTATGTGTAGTATGCATGTATAGTATTTGTAGTATCTATCAGTATGTATGTGTGTGTGTGTGTGTGGATAATATATAATGATTGTGTATCATTCATTCTGCAGAGAAAAAGATTGTACGAGGTCACCCTTGAGGAATTAGCTCAGGAGTACCGCACCCTGAAGAGGCCACCAAGCCCTGAATATTAACCTGTGAGTATAAAAACATTAACCCATTGAGTGGCGGATGCACCCTACTTTAATATTTTACTCTGTCTAACGCCAGAGTATTTTACTCTGTGTAACGCCAGACGATTTTACTCGTCAAGGTTAACCCATTGAGTGGCGATGCACCCTGATGCACCCTACTTTAGTATTTTACTCTGTCTAACGCCAGACGATTTTACTCGTCAAGGGGGAGAGCGCTGGCGCTTAATGGGTTAAATATGATACTCATTCAACACTGATTGAACCAACAAATTGCTCTTTTCATTTCATTTCAGATAAACTGTTTCACTAAATTTTGGTTGCACATGGGAATATATTAGGAATGATGCAAACACAAGGATTTTTACAATGATTTGATTTTACTTTTACAGTACCTTTTTCAAAAATTGTTAATTATTTTAATATTATTTAGTTATTGTTAATTACTTATTTATTGTTAATACAAATATATAATAGTAAAGAACTGTACATTGTTTGTTGAAGTTGATTGGGTTAGTACAATTTTGGAAGATTGTAGATGTTTACCGAATGTCAGTTATCTTCAAAATCAGTTCATTTTTCAACTGAACAATTTTACGAGTTCACTCTGGCGTGATAAAATGACACACTGTCAGGATCAACATGCTTTATCAGTACTTATATATACAGTTCAGGGTTCAAATAAACAGTGTTCCAAGAAACTGATTATTTTAGTTAATAGAAAATCAGTATCAGTTTTCAGAAAGGTCTGCAAATAATATGTTCATAAGATAGATGATCTAGTCTCTCCAAACACACCACATACATCAGCAAATACTGTAATTAAATTTGAACCCTGTTAGCTATCTTTTTTAACGTTATGAGGGCAGTCTTTGTGGCTCCGCCTTACATGAGTCGTGCTGCCACACCATTTGCAATTTTTCCCACCAATTACAATATTTGCACCCAAAGGTGGAGTCACCACACCATCTGGGAGGACAACACCGGGTGCTTCGCCTTCTTTGATAGCCCTCTCAGTTACAGCCTTGGCTACCTCTTCATCTATACCATTATCCTCATCACCATACGAATGCTGTATCTGGCACTTCTTGGTATATTTCTTCCTAACATTAAAAATAAGTATGAGATATGTAAGACAACATGTACAAAAAATGTTGAATGGTGGGTACCAGTGTAGGTAGCGACGAATACAAGCGGTGATCTGTGTAGGTTATGGTATACAACCTCCTGAGAAATATAAATAGAACTTCAACATTTCGAGCAAAGGCCAATTGAGTGGCTTGGCACTTTCATATTATTGCATATAAAAGCTTTCATAATTTTATATTCAGTAATATAAAAGCAAAATTGTTTTCCTGCTCCACGCTACTCACATTGAGATGGAGGGCCTTTGCTCAGAACGGCAAAGTTCTATTTGTCTTTTCAGGTAGTTGTATCACCCTACAGAGACCACCAAAAATAGAATCTCAATTCCATTGCTTTGCTATAATAGTTTTAGTCAAGAAACAATGATATACCTTAGTTTCTGTTCCTCTGCACGGTCAACCTTTGTCTTCACCCTCTTCTTCTTCCCTTCGGCACTTCTTTTCTTTTCCAGCATCTTCATCCGCTTTTCGTTGTCATGCTGACACTGCGATCATAAAAATTCAACAACAACAAATCAATAAATACTTATCGTCCAGCCAATTTTTGTTAATCCAGGTAAGTTCGGCACTTAGATTTTTGGAAATATTAGTGGAAATACAATTTAATACATAAAAGTATACACCACATTTTTACAATGCATACCATTGCTTGAATACCATCAATAATGGGTAATCCCATCCTTGAATACAGCTCCAATATCCAGTGGTATTCAGCACCTTTAACTTTGTAACACCAGGTCATACATGACTGTAGTAAGCCAAGGTTCGTAGAGGCCTGGTAGTGCAACTGATGCAGGTTGATGTCCTTAGCCTGGAACTTAGTCAAGACACTAAATGATGACTCGGGAAGGTTAGAATGACACTTACCTAATTCAGGGTTTATGACATTCTCTGCATCTTTAGCTCTGCGAGCACACTCAATCTCATATAAAAGCCCATGAAAGTCACACTTCAGGACATGAGCAGAGTGGTATGGCTCTCCAGAGCATTTCATATCTGGGCAAAACCCATTTTCATCAACATCACACTTTTTACAGCTACACTTTACTAACGGATGAAAAGAACATGACCCACCCTCCCACTGATGTATGTCCCTGCAGTGGTACTTGCCAAGGGTGAGCATGGTTGCCCTGTATTTTTCAGGGTCGTTACCAGCTTGAACAAGAGCACAGTAATGGTTCCTTTTGGCACTGTGGATAAATCCAGGACCGATGCAACCACATGCAGGTTTGTTCTTTTTAGAAACAAACGTATGCTTTTTGCCAACACAACAGCATTTCACCGATGTTATATTAGGGAACTGCTCTTTGTGAAGGGCGATGAACTGATTAGTAACAGATAATTTCGTTTGAAGCTCTTGGAGTTTCTTACCATGGGCCCTTCCCACATGCCCCCCACACAACATAACTTTGGATTCTAATTCATTGGGAAATGAGTATCTGAAACCTAATGCAGATGAGGAGTCGGCATCTTGCCAGTTCACTTCCACCATCATATCTTCCTCCTTTGCTTTGGCCCATAAGACTTGAGCCAAGTGACCCTCTGCAGCCTTTGCTGTGCCCTGCCATAACTCCTCATCACAAATACTGTCTGCACCTCTCATTGACAGATGGCCATAATAAAGAAGACCACCAGTCAGATAGTTTTTTATAATAAAGGTGCAATTTTGACTAAAATACCCCCTGATTTGCCAACAACCATCACATGTGGTAACAGCACGAGACCAAGAGCCTAAAACATCTGATGAGAGTTCTTTCATTTGATGCTTTGCATCATCACATATCTCATCTAAAATTGCTTTTATAAAAGGGAAGGCATGATGTATAATTTCTAAAAAAGGCTTTTCTGAAAGAACTTCCAACCCGAGACCCCTTCCTAGTGTTTTACGGTAACTTGCATAACCATGACCACTAACAAAAAATGCTAAAGACAAGGTTAAGGACACCAACTGTCGTCTGGAATTCAGAGCCAACTGGCTGCTCCTATAGCAGATTTCCTCTTTCCAACAGCCGTTGCAACGAAAGAGGAACTTCATGGAGCCACCACGACGTTTCTTATTTGTTGCAATAAGTACAAGCTTTCCTAGAAGCATACAAATTAATGTTTTATAACAGAGCTTGCATTATGCCAAATAAAAATATCCCGGTTTCTCATCAGTGTCCACGTATAAAAATGGTGCCGCATTTTACTTTTTCAAAATTTTTAGATGGAGATAGAAAAATATTTCCAAAGTCCAATGGTTCCCATGCGGATATGTTCGGAAGAACACCAAACTATTTTATGAATACCGAAAAGCTAATACAAAAAATAAATACCGAGAGCTAATACAGTATATTGCATTACATAAAAACCATGGGTATATCCCATTTGTCACTGTATATATCTTATTTTGAGATTGGATTACTTTTTTAATAAACTTCAGATGAGAAACCTGAGATATTCCTTATTTTGCCCTAGTGAAGCTAACAAATTTATCAATCAGTCATTTTCAGTTTCGTTTACAGTGGTAAAAGGTGCAAAATGTAATCCTACCTTTGCACTGTCCAGCATTTGATGGGCAACAGAAATACTTGTTGAAATCACTAACCAAAGAAACAATGCTTGAGGCCATACCAACGAAAAGACCATCACAAATGCTTATCCTGCAAAATATTGTAGGTATAAAAACAGAGAAGTACACATATAGACATAAGGGGAAAGGGGTTATTTGGCCTACTCAATGGCATATTGGTTTATATAGGTATTTATATATGTCATTTCCTCTCGCAACTTGGTCAATCCAAAGAACCAGGCCCTGTTTCAGCTATTTTCTGGCTAAAACGACTATAAAGTTGCTCACAATATACAACAGATGTAGAGCCTAAACATCTGTATTTCGCATACTGATAAATTATTGTTTAGGCTCAAGTATATATTACTGAGCGAAAATGTGAAATGTGTTTGGTTTGAACTTGTGAATTTCCATGCATTGTCTGCCAAGCAATCATTTCCCGTCATATGCAATGCATATGCACATGCAAATAAATGCAAATTAACGTAGAGGGAAATGCGCATATTCTCGCAATCAAAATACCCCTAATAGTCCTGTATCTATTTCGTTGAACGGTATGTTGGCGTGTAGGTAGTACCACTAATAACAATACTTTGAATTCGGTTGGTTGGGATGCAACTACCTGAACAAAACAAGATGAAATTCAACCTTTCGAGCAAAGGTCCTTCGTCGGGAAATCAGTAGCAGGGGTCGGGAAAAATGTTGCTTTTAGTCTTTCACTCTTATAGACCAGAACTTGTGAGTTGTGTGTGCCTTGCTTGGCTTCGGTACAAGTATGCCGTATGATCTATTTTACACACTACACCAAACAACAAATAAGTAATAACGTTCTATCAAAACAAATGAGGTATCATGTGGAAAATAGCCAAACTTTTCTACTTACTCTTGATTGCTGTTGAGATCTGTATCATTAAAACTGACTTCAGTTGGCGCAAATTCTTCGTCGCTGGTATCAGAGTCGACATTAATCTCACATGCGTCGACCGCCTCGTCATCACAACCATCTCTCGAGTGGGTAATTTCATCTTCGACTTCGACTTGATTCACCCGTTTCACTTTCTCCCAAAGGTTATTTTCTATCATGTACCTTTCCACGTCTTTCCCTGATCTAAACTTCTTTCCTGATGGATTTACAAACGAAACCATTTTGCGCTTGCGTCCGCCACTCATATGTTCTCTCTCATTCAATGTCCATCCAAGGGCAACAAGCTTTTCGGTACAAAAATTGAATCTCGACCCAAACCCAACTCCTCGAAAGAGATTTAAGGTGTTTTTCCAACATTCGCATTTTTATCACTGCTACTTGTAGTTGCAGCCATGTCGTCTGAATATTACTTCGCAAAAACGCAAATGACAATCAGCGTGAAGTAATTTGCAATAGCAAAACAACAGGATGTAAAACTGATATCTTTGGCATGTCATCACTAAACACTTAATGTGTTGTTGCCAGGCTATTGAGATCTAATTGGATAATTCGTATCCCGCGGAATTTTCCAAGCCAAAAATAGGGGTTACATGACTTATTTGTCCTTCTATGGAGAAAATATCTAAGTATTAGCCACTGACCAATAACTGTTGGCTCATAATAACTTGAAGAATCGTGTGGCAATTCGAAATAGACGAATTGTGTGATCAAAACAGCTGTATTATATTGTAATACAGTCAAATTGTGATCTATTTTCACCAGTGCAACACCTAAAAGAGCCATATCTTTGCCTCTATTCAATATATTTCAACAAAATTTGACCTGATTGCATACAATACTGTGACAAACAAATAGCATGGAGTACTCAATCGTCCTCCTTAAAACTTTCGGTTGCGAATTTTTTGTAAATCTGTCATCGTTCAAAATGAGGTAATGCTGATAAATCAGAGACAATATTCAAGCGATTGCGTACTCCGTATTAAATCTTCCTATTGATACATAAAGTAAGTCCACCTTGTTTCAGCTCAACCAGTTCAAAGCAAAAACTCCTATCAATAATCAAAGATGGCCATTTGGGAAATTCATTTTGAGTTCCCACACCCAGCAGAGACTTAGTATCAGCAGAGACTTAAACAACCATAAACATTTCTAAATACCCGTTTTCAGAATTTTCCAATTTTTCAAAAGTGAGACTCCAGTACTACCTTAAAACTTTCAATGCGAGTATAAATCACAAAGACGTGATAAAAAAATATTTGTTAGTATATTCTGTTGTTTTATTTCATTAAAAATATTTGAGATTATTTTCTGAGCCTTTTATTTATTTGGCAATACCAACAGTTCCAAAAAAACTTTTTCATGGCCAAAATTGGTGGGTGATCAAGGGCAAAGCGGCAGTTATCCTCTGATTGAATTGTTGAGTTTATTGAGTGCATTCCAGCCCTTACACCAATGTGAAGCTGGGAGAAAGTTGGCATTGAAAGATGACAAGGCTTGAAAGTATGGAAACACAGGCCTGGCTGTTTGAGGCGCGCGATCGCGCCTCCGCACGCGCCTTGACTCCTTGAGACGCGCCTTTTAACATGCGCCTCGTTTGTTTTAAAAGTATGAAATCGCGCGTCTGGTTTTTTTTATTCAAAATGAATTTTTGCCGGAACTAATACTCGCCATTTAGATTAGTTATAAAAGAATGACTGATTTAATGCTGATCAAAGGAATTGATAACTGCTGGTCGGCGAAAGAGCGTAAGGAAATCTCCTTACGCTCCTTCGCCGACCAGCAGTTATCAATTCCTTTGATCAGCATTAAATCAGTGCATTAGAATTTTACATGGAGAAAATACGCAGAGCCAAACTCGACAGCAACACCGTGGATGAAGAAACTCCGTTAAAAAAGTGTATAATTGAGAAAGACGCCATAACCCATTGAAGATAACGATGAGTCGTCAAGCTCGTTGGAAATCGAGTCATAGGCGATGTTGACATTTTCATTGATGTTCAAAGTACAATGACTTTGAAAACATCGTAAATACACGTACTCACTGGTACAAATTTTAAAACTGTTTTGTTCTACACAAATTTTTACCCAGTTTTGTGAATGTTATTCTAGTCTATATAGCCAATACGCGTAATTTTTACAGTTTTTTTAATCGCGTGCCTGACGTTAATATGGCGCGCGATATGCCGCGCGCCTGCCCAAATACTTACGGCCAGGTCTGGAAACAGTTCTGTCATTGAAGTAGAGTGCTCTAAATGTGATACCAAACTAGAACTAAAAACTTCCGGGAAGACATGGACACCCCAAAGGTCCATGAATGTCAATAGAAGAATGGTGTATGCTGCATCAGAAATGGGTGTTGGAAGAGAAGGCACGTCAGCCATTTGTGACATCCTGAACATGCTTCCACAACCATGTGAATGCATTATATGAGGCACATAAGAAGACACTAAATGAACATTTACAGAAGGCTAAGAGAAAGTCTCTTCACTTCATGAACCTAATGAGTCAAATGTGGTAGAGATTCTCCAGTTAGTTATGATGTGGCACATGGTCAAAACGTGGTTATACACAAAAAATGGTATAACATTTTTTGGTAAGCATTTATTAAGTGTATCGATAGAGCCAACAAAGGCAATTATAAAAAGTGGAAAATCGACCTGAAAAGTCTTTTTAAATTTGTTTAAATTTTGAAAAAATAATTGAAAAAATGTTTGTGGTAATTCACCTATTATCCCCCATATGATCCCCTACAACCATCGAAGTGCCTCCTGTCCCCTCTCGCAAATTGAAACACGTGTTTTAGTAAAGTTGAATGCAACATTACATCAGGTTAATGTACAAGACCTTGACATTGACCACATTGGGGTGAATGTACCTGTGGTACACGAAAGAACAGGAGAGTTTTTACAATCATTATTGGGAAATTCTGTGACGCTCACCACAAAAAAGGAAGATCATGGCATCCAGAAAATTGGAATTTAACGATTTTGGTTTGGAATCCATTCATCATCCTAACCATGCTTTCCAATGCGGTGAAAGAGAATCTATGTTTGTTCTTTACTGATCATGGCCACATAGTCCTTCCATCTGGCAAGGAAGCCAAGCACATTATCAAAGGACACCCGAAACCTGTACCTCTTCCCATGTTCCTCGCTGGTCTCGTTCACGCTGGTGTCGATTACATCAGATTGGTCAATTTTGGAATGAAGCAGCATGTAGAAGACCTCCCATCCTTCCCTCCAGAACTCCTGCCTAACAACGCGGTTGAAAATGGCTATCCAGTTAACGAGCATGATGTTTCTGTCACGAGAAGATTCCCCTACCTTTACCTGATGAAACCTGTTCAACCTATCCCTCACAACATAACAGTTGATCAATTCCCTATCCTTTCCCCCATTAATCCTCACCCTGCCAGATCTGGCAAGCGAGCGTTTGTAATTTACCTTAGAGGGGGGAGGGTGGTGGCTACGGCGATTTTTAGAGGGGTCAGTTTTTTATCATTACAATTTAGGGGGCTTTTCAAAAATTACCTGAATATTAGGCAGGGAACCTTCAACAAAACGTTTCCCTTAGTTTTTGTGTCTAGCCCGTTTGCGGGCTAGTCATTATCACATAGTACACAAACGCGATGAGCGGATGATGATCGTGGTGTCCAGTCCAGATTTTCGTAAAGTCTCGGAAGCAATCGGAAGCGCCCGTATTTTTCTGCCGACATTTCACATTTGCATTTTGAGGTATTTCATGATTTTGATCCAGTTTGAGCACGTCTACTTCTACACTAGCATGAGCAGCATATTGTGTTATTCCTTGTGTTCCTTTGAGTAAACTGTAAAAGGTATATTTCCTCATTTCTATTTTTGTATAGGTTTGCTTTTATTGTATTATTTACAACGCCATTTTGGTTGTTCTGGTCAAAGATATATTTTTGATCCGAATATAGATCTGGCATTCTTATACGCGAAGTCGACATATCAAATCAGAAATACAGTATACAAAGGAGCCAAATCAAAATTAAAATTGAAAAATACAATATTACACATGAAAGGGTGTGCATTGTGCTCGTGCAGATCATACAGGGCTATTTACCGTACATGAATTTAGGCCACGTACCAAACAAAAACAAGCCAAGAATGCCAGGAGTATTGTAGGTATATTGCAAAACAATGCCATTTGTCCTGGGATTAACTACCTTGACTATTGCTATATTAGTAAAAAAAACTATAAACTACCTTGACTTTTGGTAATGTAGGTCACAAGAACAACCTTGACTATTGCAGCCTGTAGTACAGTAGTCCATGTAGATGAAATTATTTTAGTAATTTTGTTAGTATTTGCATTTCTTAGTATATATCTCCTTGGATGTATAAAAATTGTTGTGTTCATCATCTAATGTGTTTTCACATTCCTTTTGAAACTATTTGCTAAAACACCCTCTGGGTATATTACGAAAGTCACCGAACTGTGGAATCGCATCAAAAATTCGTATATCGACCACTCCCACAAACGTCTACGACCACGCCTACATTCGACTACATAGTTTTGCATGTTTACAATTCTAATTTTGAACAGCCAATCAGGTTCTTGGTAATTAGCTGTTTAAAATTAGAATTGTAAACGTGCAAAACTATGTAGGCGCGGTCGTAGACGTTTGTGGGAGTGGTCGATATACAAATTTTTTATGCGATTCCACAGTTCGGTGACTTTCGTAATAATAAGCATCCAGCAAGTATACCCGTATTCTTGGGTTTCATATCACATCACAAAAGTGATTAGCTTTGTGTTCAGTGGCAAATACATGGAATTTCGTATCATTTTCTCACTCCACTACAGCATAAGCATCAATACATTTGAGGTTGACCCCCCGTCAGATTCACTGCATAATGCTGTAGTGAAACCCAAGAATAGGCAACCCCTGCCGTTAAGCACCCTCAGGGTATAAGCATCCCCTGGGTATAAGCATCCACTAAGTATAATCTACAGAATTTGCTAAAATTAAGACAAATGCAGAACTCAGAAATGTGTGAAATGACTTTACTTTCTCTTTATATTTTCCGTACTAATTTTGCAGTCAATAATGCTTCATTTGGCCTGTAACATGAACAGCCCCTACAATATTGGTTAACCCATTTAGCCGCAATGTGCCCCAGTGCGCCCTACTTTTTTTACCTATCCAACGCAAGATGATTTTATTCGTCAATGGGGAAGCTTTGCAACTTAATGAGTAGGGAAAAGTAATCTTTCAAAAATGTGTTCAAATAATGGAAATGTCATTTCAGAAACCCAAATTTTAAGACATTGTGGGAAGGGTGTATGATGCTGGAACACCAAGCTCCCCCCTCCTAGGAGAACCAAGTCTCATGCACAATATGCAGTCAACCTCGACAGTTATGACAATGTTATCTGCTGAAGCTGAGGACTGGACACAGTAATTGAAATATTATACAATTGCAAGAGCACATGCAGTTGCAGAGAGTTTTATAGGTCAGCCATGCACATTAGAAGTTATGTCACCTACCGACAATTTTTCAATGTCGGAGGCAGCAAGACATTGAGAATTTTTTACAATCATTCTTAGCCAATCACCACGGAGATTGCATATGCATTGTACAATAATATCTCCTCTTATTACTATTAAAGTTAGCCTGCATGTCTTCTTATTACTGTTAAAGTTAACCAGCATGGCAGACTCTCTGGGTTTGGAGGAGGGTTTTGGGAGTTAAAGTTTACCAGGCTAGCCACATGTACGCATTGCATACCTATTTTTATTTTTGTTGCCATGCAAAGTTGCAAACCATTCATATTCTAAGGATATATGACTGAAGTTGTTATTACTAGACATGGAAGTTCAATGGTCAAGAATATGTTTGTGTGATGTTACTCTGAGTGTGTATCCACACCGGGCAGGCTTGAAAAATATACCTGGCCACGGCGGGATTCGAACCTACGACCTTTGGAATACTAGCCCAATGCTCTTCCAACTGAGCTACGTGGTCAGGTCAGTTCGAGTATGCGATATTTCGGAACTGAGTCTAGTTCCTTCGATATCAGTATAATCTAATAATCATAAATAATAGCCACTACTATGTGAATCATTTCATGATTATTAGATTATACTGATATCGAAGGAACTAGACTCAGTTCCGAAATATCGCATACTCGAACCGACCTGACCACGTAGCTCAGTTGGAAGAGCATTGGGCTAGTATTCCAAAGGTCGTAGGTTCGAATCCCGCCATGGCCAGGCATATTTTTCAAGCCTGCCTGGTGTGGATACACACTCACATCTTATTCACCTGAGTACATTAACACCAACATAGCAGATTTCATGATTATTAGATTATACTGATATCGAAGGAACTAGACTCAGTTCTGAAATATTGCATACTTGAACCGACCTGACGCGTAGCTCAGTTGGAAGAGCATTGGGCTAGTATTCCAAAGGTCGTAGGTTTGAATCCCGCCGTGGCCAGGCATATTTTTCAAGCCTGCCCGGTGTGGATACACACTCAAAGTAACATCACACAAACATCTTATTCACCTGAGTACATTACACGAACACAGCAGGTCAAGAATATTTAACATTATAGTCAGAATGTCAGAATTATGTATATGTCAGAATTTATTATACATATTGATAAGAAACCAATACTAATTAAAGGTCAATAGGTTTTTGGAAGGGGGAAACAGGGAGTCGACAATTCAACATCTGTTGTTTACAATCATATGGCGGGAGGAGGCAACAAAAGTGGAGGGGGGAGGGGGATATTGTAACAATTATTGAGATCGAAAGGTATCAAACTTTTGCACTCAGGAGTTAGCTCTTTACAGAAGATATCAACATTCACATAGTAGTGGCTATTATTTAATTGTTTACTTTTCTGCTATACAGTATTTTCTATCCAGTTAACCAGTTGTAATAGTATATTTGGAAATTTGCGTATTTTTTATTTCTAAAGTATAAATTCCCCTCCCCCGGGCAAATAAAAAAAGACAATTCCCCACCCCGGGGACAATATTGGCTATTGCGTTTGGTTTATTTTCATGATCAGTATAATAAATATTTAAGCTTATAGGAAAGTTACAACAGGACATCGCCCAAATGATAGCTGATACTAAACTGGAGGTGTTTTTCGTTATAACTTTTGTATAGGGAAGTAATATAATTAAAAAACCTCTGGTTTCTTCGTCACACTGGGAAAATTAATGGGGTATGCTAAGTACAGTGGTTTTATAATTACAGTATATTATATCAAACAATATTTTTATCAAACGAAAATATCATCTTTGATAGATCTTGTGGGGAACAGCTTCACACAGGTTCACAGGCTAAGTCCAACCCATTGCATTCGGACATAATATATGCCATAATTATTTCCCACCCCTACCCCCAGAATTTTTGGCACACAAACTCCCCGAGGTTGCCTAGCGCAAACAAAAGTTTTTATATGTAACTGTAGTCACTATATAGCCGGCTGTTTACTCAATAGCAGTCTGCCGGCTGAATAGACACTTCGCACATAATTTGATCACAAACAATACACCAAACTGTTCAGTACTTAGAACTTGCATATTACATTTTCCTAACATTACATAAGGCAGAAGCACCTGTAATTTTCCCTCAAAATGCTTCTTTAATACAATTTTTACTGTAAAATACTCACACAACTTTATAAAAAAATTATCAAAGTAAAACTAGAGGCCAGATCAGGGCAGCTCGCAAATTTTGCTAGCCTTCTCGGCTCTCCCCAGTCTCCAAATAATACATCTTTATCCCGGTCAACCTGAAAACATTGTCTATTTCCCCCTAAAATAAATGAGGCAGAAGCAAGAAGGCCAGGAACTAGGCTGGGCACAAATGTCCTAAATCTGTGGAGATGGCTATTATGTCAGCAGTTATGCAGTTCAATTCTGGTATAAGCTCAAGGCATAAAATCATGGAAGCTGCTTGTATTCCAGCAGGTGGATTTACAAGTCAAGGGAGTGGGAAGAAGGACAAGGCAATAATTTACTGTTCTGTCCGGGAGACAATTCATTAACATAAATTACCCAAAATCCCTTACATTTAACCCCTTAGGTACAAACGTGTCCAAATTATATGCCCAAAATGCCTCTCTTTGCATGGGATCATTCATATTTGTTTTGTCAATAATAATAACTCTGAGATCTGCCAAGCCCTCATGTTCCTCGCCAAAAAAATGCGCATCAGCCATATGCCTGATCCCTTGCTCATATTTCCTAAGAGAACTCTTATGGTTGTTAAACCTCTTCCTAAAAGTTGTTATAGTACTACCAACATAAACCTTAAAACACCTAGCACACTTAAGTAAATAAATCACCCCTATCGAATCACAATCGAAGGAATAATTTATCCAGTAAGTATGCCCATTGTGTTCAAACTTTTGTGTTTCCACTACAAAATTACAGATCTGGCTTTGTCACACTTTTTCATTCCCTTCCCCTCAACATTTACCTTTTTAACCTTAGATCTAATAAGATTATCTGCCAAATTTTGTGGCCTTCTAAACGAAATCAAGGGCTTGATATCACCCAAAATTTCCCTCATACCCTCCGAAGCTTGCAAAACAGGCCACAAAGAATTAACTACCTCACCAACCCCCGATAATGCAGGGTGGAAATTCAAAACCAAAGGCAACATATTTGACTTTAAATCTTTTTCTTTCCTGTGAAACAGCAAAGCTCTTCTGTCATTACTCTCAGCCCTCTCAAATTGAGAGACTATTTGACGTTCTTTAAATCCTCTATCACACAGATGTTTTTTCAACTCCCCAACCCGTTGATCAAATTTACTTTCCGAATTACAAATACGCTTTAATCTTAATGCCTGCCCATACGGAATAGCCTGTTTTACATGTCTCGGATGGCATGAACTAGATTCCAAACACTGGTGAGTATCCGTAGGTTTTGAATACACATGAGTAAAAACACTACCTCCTACATCTTTGGAAATGGTAACATCCAAAAATGAAACTTGACTCATAGACCAATCCCAAGTGTACTTAATTGTGTTATGGTAAGAATTAATAAAATTTAGAAATTCCCTCAACCTTTGCTCACCATGCAACCAAATGAAAAAAAATATCATCCAAAAATCTCCACCATATCCACGGTTTCCAATCACATTCCTGCAACATTTTTGTTTTGAGGACATACATAAATATATTAGCAAAAGCCGGAGCAAACTTTGTTCCAATAGCTGTACCCTGCCTTTGCCAATATATCTCCTCATTAAACTCAAAATAGTTATTTTCTAAAATCATTTTAGCCATCTCAAGTAAATCAACCCCATCCACAAACCACTCACTGAAAGTAGTTTTGTCCCTAAATTCTTCTAAAACTTTCCTCATACTGTCCAACCCTTCATCATGTGGTATATGTGGATAAAGCCCCACAACATCTATGGTACCAAAAATTGCCGTCTCAGGGATATACCCTATATTCTCTAACCTTCTAAGAAAATCAGAAGTATCTACTAAAACCGAAGGCAAACATTTAACAATCGGATTAAAATGGTAATCCACAAACTCAGAAATATGCTCTGTGGGCGTCCCACAGTTCGAAACCACTGGCCTACCGGGAACATTCACTAATCGCTTGTGTATCTTAGGCAACAAATAAAATCTGCCTAAATTTACACTCTCTCCTTTTAGATACTTCCGATTTACCTCGGGTATCTTTCCTTCATGTACCATTTTTTTTAACTTTCCATCAATGAGTGCAACTACATCATTCACTGGATTAAAATGTGATTGGAAATGTATAAAATACATTTCATACTACATCATTCACTGGATTAAAATGTGATTGGAAACCGTGTATATATATATATATATATATATATATATTTAAAACACGAGTAGGAGTGTTTTATCAGATATATAATGCGAGGCGCAGCCGAGCGTTATATATCTGATAAAACACGACAACGAGTGTTTTGAATAGCTTAAAATACAACTACAAAAGAATACTAATTAGGATGAACCATAGTATAATCATGCTAATTAAGATGAACAATTATATAATGCCACATGTGTTTTATCAGATATAAAGTCACTCCACGTGACATATTATGGCTGACATGATTTACCACAAGGTTTATGAATTATTAATGAGTATTTTAAATATATATATATATATATATAGTATACTCTAACACAAGATAATTTTAATTGTCATTAGGACTATTTAGCACAGATTCCTCAGTTTATCATTACCCGAAAATGCACCCATATGCTCCCACAACATTAGTATTTTACCCTGTATATTGTCTCAGTGGATGCCTCAATAAGGGCATATATACAAATTAATCATTTTTAAATCCAATTTATTATTTAAGTTGTTCGTGAATTGAGTTCATTTACATATTTAATAGCTGTGCACATGGCAATGTACTCAGAGTCATGAGATGCATCTTTACCTACCAGTATGTGGTACTAGATTAATTAGGCTTTCTATTTAAATCAATCTACCTAGTGTAGTTACTTGACTGTCTAGAATTTCTAAGTATTTGTTACTCCCATCCTGTTGGTATGTAAATTCGGGCTGACAATATTGTAAAACCCTAATATTTATGGTTATGATAGTTTTAATTAGAATTGATTTTTAATTAAAAATATAATTTACTTGTATTTTATTTAGGATATCATGAGAGTAAAAGATTTAATAAAATCAATCAAGGTATTTTATCAGATATTCTGTTCCCATCAATCGGTCAAATAGGAACTCAGACTTTTCATCTGGGTATACCAAGTTCTTTGACAAATGTAATGTTGGAATCCCTCAATGTTGGGAAATACAATGCCATTTCTTGTGCGTTGGGTACCTTTGAAAAATCCTCATTGCAGACTTTATTAAAAATCCATGAGTTGATTGAAATTAGAGGAAGTGTACTGGAAGAGAAAAGATGGTTTAAACTTGATGTACCAGTGCCAATTGGCAATTGCACCTCACCCAATCAGTTGCTGATAGCCGCATATGAAAAGCTTCTCTTCCAAAACTTGGCAAAGATATTATAGGAGCAGATTTAAGTTGTCTTACAGGTAATTGTTGGTTGACCCTTTCAATAATAAAAGGATTTGTAGAATTGTTAAATAGCTAGAGCTCCGAAACCTAAGTGTTGGTTTTAAATTATTTTGTTGGTCTAAATCAGAGTCTTATTCAAAACCTACTGGAAAAAGAAAAGTGGAAACACATTAAGTACCTTACATTTATCATCAATGTTGGACGCATTGGCACCGAAACATTTGTTGCAAAGCCAGGAAAACAAGGATGTCATCGGACTATTCTTTACATTGATACAACAACAAACAAGTGGTTATATTGTGATACACTTGTTTGGGCTCCTCCAGATGATCTTGTAAATTGTGTCAATTCCTTGATGGATGTTCTTACATTCAATTGTTGTTGCCCAGAAAGCCAGTACAAGGTAGATTTGTTGCACACAAGCTGGAATGCAGAAAGGGGTCTTAAACCTAACCTTTATACTGAAAGAGATGATGGAAACATTTAATTCAATGTGACAAATACTCCACTTTTATCATGTGATCATTTTGATGAGAACAATGTAACAAGTCAGGCAGAAAATGTTGACCTAAAGTCACTTGGTCAAACTAATTCATCAAAACAAAAAGTGTGTGATTTAAACTCCTCAATACAGCCAGGCAATTGTGATGTCACACGACAATTTGACTCCAGCAATCTTGCCGATGTTACTACACTAGTAGATGATAGCCCCCATCTGGTGGCGGAAGGCACATCAGTATTTTTAGGGATAAGAGTGACGTCATTTTTGTTACATTTGTCGTGTGATCTTTTGGGAATAATACTGGGATGGCGTCAGCAAAGTGTATAAAAACAGGAGTTTTATATTTATTTTTAAATGGAAAGTTTATGTGATATGTTAGGTGCAATGAGTATTTCTTTGGAGGTGCCAAACGACTTGGTTGTGGATGAAGTATCTTATGAAGTGAGAATGTTTGTGATTTGATGAATGTAGTGTTTTTCGAAGCGGTTGTTTGTGAAATTTGGAGGTTATTGAAGGAGAAATGTCCCAGCTGTGAAGACAATCATCCGAGTCATAGGAGACACAACTGTATTATGTTGTCAGATGAGGAGGGATGGTTATTGCATGGTTTGGAGGAAGTGGAGCATGTGATTGAGAATGGAATTTTGAGGAAACAGTTTCTTGAAGCTATTCGAGTGATGAAATTGGAATATTACGGGCGTGCGAAGGAACATCATTATGTGAACTTGACGAAAGATCATAAAGTAACACTTGATTTTTTGGGGAATTTGAGAGGAAGTTTTTCTGATTATCAACCCATTTTGAACTACCTGATGTATTGGAGCAAGGAACATTGTGCATAAGACACGGTTGGTAAAAAAGTTATGTTTTGATGTTACAAGAAATATTTATGTACTATTTAAGGTGGCTCCCTACAGTTAGTACATCCTCGCGACCTGCGCGTGGAATCGTGTTTACTGTTCTGCAAAAATATTGAAACCAGCTGTGGGAAGTTTTTGGGCGTTTTTTATCTACAAAGAAAGCCCCAGTTTTTCATTATAATCCTATTTTTTTCTGAATTCGAACAGTACGTATGTTATTAACTAGTTTAACCTATCTTTTAGTGTGTTTTACGTATTTACGTTCAGTATTGTCTTTCACATTACTCAAAATTTTCAACTTGTTGTTTTGCGAGCTGTCAAACTGAAATGACACTGTCTTCTATTTACTCTTGAACAGTAGTGAACTGTTGCCAAAACTTATATAAGTTCTGTCAATCAATTCAATTTACAGGTATCGTTTTATCTGCTAAATCAAATAAAACAGTTATGAGTTGTTTTATATGAAAAGTTAAACTTGTAGTTCAATGTTTTGAAAAGTTTTCACACCGATTTTAACAACAAAAACAAGTGTAAACTAACACTGGATTTAATACAATGCCTATAATAGTGTTTTTTATTAGTATTTTCAAGATTAATATTTTATTTTCATGTCAAACAAGTCAGAAATATCTGTTTTCTTATGTATTGTAAGCCAAAAAGTTGAAATCACTATAAATCACACGCTACAATTTACACGCATGCGCAGATCGTGCTCATGTCGAGTCGATTTTTTTTCATGCTGGCCACGCCGATTTTAGCGATGATTTTCTCGTGTTTTCTTCGGTGAAATTTTTTTAAACTTTGTATTTTTGTTAAACAAGAGGAATGGTACAACATATCCAAATTTTAAGAAATTCTATAAATAACTTTTTCTGTAACCGTCATTCACGAATATCTCGAAAACTTATTTATAAATTCCCTTCAAATTTTGATATGTTTTTCCTTTATGGACCATAAATCTTCAAAAAAAATTTCAGAAAAATTCACCGAAGGAAAATATAGATATTGTCCATTTATTGTGAAATTAGACAATAAAAGTGCAAAAGATTACACGTCATGGTTGCCATGGCAACACAAACACTGTTTTAATTTGTTCATAAATGGAGAGCACACAGCTTCTGAACTTTCCTGGAAATGATCATATTGCCTTGTCTTAAGTGTATCTAATATAAATTCGGTTCAAAGCGAACGATACTCAAAATACCTAGAATTTTAGAGAACTGTAGGGAGCCACCTTAAAGTGTATATGAAATGAAAATTTCGATATCAGGTTTTTTGCATTTTCTGAAAATTTGGTCTTTTCCGATCATAAAAATACAAACCTTTTTGAAAAACTCGAACCAGAAGTTTGTTAATTTTACGATTAAAGTTTGCTTTTTCGACTATCTACTGGTGAAAGACTGGTACCTAGAGTTCCGGGCCTTGTGACGTATGCAGTATGACACGCCGAAGTGTTTCACTATACGAAAACAACAAAAACATCAGACAGTTGCCTTTATATTTCACTATAAAAATGTCCGATAACGAAAGCTTTGAATCACAGACAGAGAGAGAAGAGTCAACAGATAATGAGGGCATCGCTGAGCAATCGTGTGTTGTTCAGCCATATCAATTTGAGCTAGCCGCATATAGTGACTACGCAAGGAAGACCAAACGGACGAAGACGGCATTCTTCATGATACTCTTGAGGCGAGATTTAAGAAAAAGGTAGCTGTTAATTCATGGTAAGTAAAGTTATAACTGTAATATTATATTAACCTGTTCCTCGACTATTTATTACCCTGTTTTGTCTGATATGCGAGCTTATTTTAAGGTGCTCATGTGGACATTGTAGCGACGAATTATTGCAGGACGCTAGAGAATATAGATGCTGTAAGGAAATTTTGCAGTGCATTGACAAATTTACGTTCGAGGACAAGGACGCAGAATGCATCACACAGCACTGGGATTATGCAGTAAGTTGAAAAGTTGAAAATGTTCTCGGGTGTGTATTTCATAATTTCCATACCCAGCGCAAGCAGAAAGATATTGTCTGCTGTGGCTGGGTCTTGAACCCGCGACCTTCGAATTACTAGATCGACGCTCTACCAACTGAGCTATACGGTCAGACGGATTTATATTAGGCTAAGACTGGAAATTATGAACTATATACTGAATGTCATAAACATACTCGTTTATATTAAAATTCAGCATCGAACCATACTAGTTCTGCAAGTGTTATGTTGGCCTATATGTTGTGTTATTGTTCACTCCGTAATATGATCATAGTCGTCACCCATCGAACAGTAGCCTAGTAGAGACGCAGGGGCTTTTCTCTGATATAAAGTCAGGGAAAAAGTATCATAAACCAACAAGCAGAACCTAAGATAATTAAATATCAATATTTCTATCCTAAACGATATCTTGCATTCTTTGTTATACAGTATGTCTGTAATATATCTTTTTATATGTATATATTAGTATACTGTATACTAATAGGTAATAATAGTGACTTGACTTAGGCTTGGGTAGGTAGGCAAATCTTATATATATTCCGACCATACATAAGTAACTTCTTTAGTATTTTCAAACATGAAATTAACGTCTCACTATTTGATTATTTAGATATCTTCGAGCAGTAGCATATCGTTGGATAGTCAGATGATATTTGGCATGCTGGGATGGGAGAATTCCAGACCACTTCCAGCATGCATAGTAGATGCATAGAAACTGCACTGCTTTATAGGGTTAGATAGTACAGATGCAAACAAGATTGAGTGCAAGTGCTGGTGTGAGTTTCGTCACGTCGGTAGATGCGCTATCAGCCTGTGGCGCAAAACATGTACGCGTTTCTTGCTGAGGTTTTCAGGAGGTGAGATAAATACTAATCAAATTCTGGTCTATTCGTGTACAAAAACACGCAACTACATGTAATAGATTCTCAATGTGAACTTAACGAACGGTTGTGAGTGAACGTAAATTATATAATGAAGTAGAGCCCATCATTAGAAGCAGCTATATTAATTAAAGTCCTTTTACCCTATCGTATTTTACCATGCTATATATATATGCAATTCAAAATTTGTTTGTTTTGGAATGGTCCATACTCATGCTTGGCATGTCAGTAAATGTAGATATTTAGTATTAATTTCCATGTTATGCTTACACTAGTTACTACAATGTTTTCCATAATTAATATCAGCTATAGCCTATAAAGCCTACATAATATGCAGTCTGAAACCTACAACGTAGACATAGTCTCTCGTCTCATCGAATTTGCATTTTCGGCCGTTTATACGCTACAACTCGTCAAGTTGTAATTATATTGTATCTATAGATTGAAAGCGAAGTAGATTGAAAGATTGATTGAAAGCGTTTCAATTTTCTTCAAAATCTCTCAAAAACCCAATTCTACCCAGACGAAGCTATAATTTTCATAGTGTTTACATATCGAAAGATCGCACTGTGTCATACTGCATACGTCACTGGCCGCGAGATGGAATGTCAGGAATTTCGCCAGTAGATAGTCGAAAAAGCGAACTTGTTTTATGATCAGAAAAGACCAAATTTTCAGAAAATGCAAAAAACCCGATATCGAAATTTTCATTTCATATACACTTTAAAAAACGAGCAGGGGTGTTTTATTAGGTTTAAACCCACGAGCGCACAGCGCGAGTGGCTTTAGACCTAATAAAACACCTGCGAGTTTTTTAAATGGCTTCAAAAACGTTTGCATAATAAGTCAAATCTTTATCTAAAAATCTTTATATAGTTTGCATAACAATGGTCTTTTGTTAAAGTGTTCTTTAGCTGGTATAAAGACACATGCACGTGACTAATTTCTTACTCGAGATTGGATAATTGCTTCATGAATTATTGAGTTTTTGAATAATTTATAAAGTTGTAAAAAAAATTTTAACAGAGATTTTTGTAAAACTACTAATGTTTTTTGAGAACAAAGATTTTACAATTTACTGAGTTGTTCTCGTAGTTTATTTTCTAAATGTTTCTGATACGCTTTCTTGTGATCTGTTTCGAGAGATTTGAATGTTTCCTTTGTCCCTTTCACATAATAGGTGTATCGGGGCGGTGAGCTGAAATGACATTGAGCATATAGGATTTCAGCGGATCAGTTTGTGGATTCCATAAATCATGTAGAATATGTAGTAATGGTTGATTGTCTTGATATACTCGTAGTAAAGTGTAGACAAAGTTTTGATCGGGTTCTTCTTGCAAACACATCAAGTGCTGTGTGAAATCTTTATGATTTTCTACGTTTAGGATTTTGATGGCAGCCGTGAATTCATTCCATGTGGAGGACGTGTTGTTAGCTTGTTCTATAGCGTTCAACCTGTGCATTTCCCAAGTTTCACATTTGTCCATCATTAGACAATCTTGTTCGTATACTTTACAACCACAGCAGCAGTTTGACAAGTTTAAGATATACTTTTTAGAGATTATACTATTTTTGAAAAAAGAACGTTTTGAGGGATTAAAAAACTAGCGTGTGCTTGCGTAAAATTTAATTTGTTTAATGTATAGCATTTGTTCCATGACATTTGTTGCGTAACGTGTTTGTTCCATGACATTTGTCGCATAACACATATGATTTGGCTGGTTGAGTTGGCTGTGACCGTTAGGTGTGACCTTAACCTTGATTTTGGAAGCCAGCACAGATTTTGTGCACTTTTGGCGCCACAACGACGCACATAAATGTGTGACGAAGCGTTTTGGGGGAAAGTGAAGAGCAGAGGCAGAGAGCTGGAGTGAAAAAAGCAAGAATATGGATAGACGTGAAAAGCACAACGAGAGACACAGGATGTATATACGGCAAGGCGTAGAGAGGAAGAGGGAGAGAGGAACAGGGAGCTCGCGAATTTGCGCGAGTTTTATGGGGTTATGTTGGACAGTTGTTTTACAGCTGTCGCTTTTTGTGAGATGAGGATTTACAGGGACCGTCCTGAAGCATATCTGGAGGATACGGTCAAGTTGCAGGAGATTTTGCGGGTGCTGAATCTTCAGTGAAAGACCAATCAAAAGAAAAAAAGAACAGAAAAAACCCGGCTTTTTTAAGAGCCACCAAATCTATGAAAGAATATAAGAGTTTCTAAATGAAATTGTGTATAAATTTTTTTATGTAGGTGAATTTTTATGCAGGTAAATTGAATAGTTATAAGGAAATTTTTATATGTTTCATTGAATATTTATGAGGGAATTTTTATGTGTGAATGGAATATTTATAAGGCAGTTTTTTATGTGTGAGGCAAGTGCAGATATCGTATTCGTTTGAATTCTTTTATACAGGGTGTCTAAAAAAAACGCTATGGAAATTCAACAGGCTGTCATGCATCATAAACGTGGCTAAACAATTCAATTTTTACATAGGACGATGATACTCTTTTTAAATCGTAATGATGAGAAATGGCCACATACTCGCCAAATAAAATTTGCCGGTCGAAATCACATTCTTCCACAGTTGGGAGTTGCATGGAAAATGAACAATTCCGAAGAGAGAATTAAAATTGAACATTAAATTATCTAAAATAAGCTCAACTCGTCAATCTTTGTCTTAGTGAGACCATAAGAACGTCCATATTGCATTAAACATGGTTCCATTAACCACTGAACAGAGAATATTCGTAATCAAAACGTTTTACGAAACAAGTACCTTACAGAAGGCTCGTGTGGCTTTTGGATTGATTAACTTTGCATTAATTATTTTCAATTCCCAACATTTTCAATTCTCAACGGTGGAAGAATGTGATTTCGACCGACAATTTTTATTTGACGAGTGTGCGGCCATTTCTCATCATTACGGTTTAAGAAAGGTATCATAGAAAAGCTAAATAACAGCTCTTTCGTCCTATGTAAAAACCGAACTGTTCAGTTAAGTTTGTGATGCACAACAGCCTGTCGAATTTCCATAGCATTTTTTTTTAGACACCCTGTATATTTGTTGGTTCCTAAAGGAACCAGGGTTTTTTTCTTCTTTACAGCTGCTCTTCCAGCCACAATCCGTCCACTTCAACTTTGGGACAGTGCTGGTACGCATCGACTGTCAAGTGTTTACTGCAGGTTTCTAACCATATCATCTGATCAAACAGTTTTTGCACTTTTGGACAACAGAAGCATTCAAGGTTTACGGATGGAATGTTGAGGTCTGCCAGCTGTTTTTTTTTCATAATTCCCGCCCTTGTATGCAATGAGTGAGTTCTTGCGCATGTTATCGTAGAGTTTTCTGATTGTTTCCTTTAGGCTGATAGCGGGATGGAGTCAAAAAGTTGTGATTGCTGATCGCTGTGATCAGGAACGTTGGGAACGTTATTTCGAGCCCTGGACCCTAAAAGACATCCACAATATGGCACAGAAAAAACATGGTGGCTTAACAGAGCTAATAGATGAAAAATCAACCAGGTAATGTTATACATCTGTTTAACACTCCTAACACCAGTAGACTCATCTAATAACACAAACTCATCAAATGTAAAATATTATAGAAATCACAATGCAACAATATGCATCAATTCTTATCTCCTAGGTGCAAATGTTGAGGTTTCATAGACAAAGAGAAAACAATTTCAAAGCCCTTTTTTATCAAGAGATATGTTTGATTCCTATCAAGAAATCCTCCTAGACCTATAAACTTAACGATCTTCGCTTACCACTGTATCTCATGCTTGTGGTCGGCGGGAACGGAGAGAGTGAAATTGTAGGTCTGATGTTGGCAGCAGATGAGCATCAAGATACAATTAGACAAATGATGATCTATTTTAAAGAGCAAAATCCAAAATGGAGAGAAATCAACTGCATCATGGCAGACAAAGACATGATGGAGCACCATGCAGGTACTAAAAGAAGAGTTTCCTCAGGCAGGTGTACTGATTTGCCTTTTCAACACAATGTGTACATTTCGCAGTGAAGTTACCACTGCATAAAAGAAAAAGTTAAAAGCGTTCAGCAAGATTACAGAGCGGATGTGAACAAAGGAACACAAAGTGGTAGTGGGAAAATTGTTGAGGACAATTATGATTTCTTGACAGGCATTTGGGGTGGATCTCCGGCAACAACTTCCTTGCCTTTCGGGGTTGATGGTATGGATGAGAAGGACAAAAAATTGATGTAGTGAACATTGGAGAAAACGTTTTTCAGGACTGCCCATAGAAGAACAACTAAATGAAGGTCCCGAATGAATGAATGTTTCAGCTTTTTTACATTTAGCTCTACAATGAATTTCAGTATTTCAATCTGACATTTTGACCAAATATTCCAAAAGCTTGAACTCTCAAAATTTTATTTATTATCCACCCACTTTTTCTACAGTGCTCCTCCTCTGCCCTAAATAGGAACTTGTCCTTCTATAGTTTGAAATAAGGAATTTTAATTTTATAAACTGATATGGCTTCATTATGAATATTAATTAATATCTATTTATTTATTTATATAACTTCACCATTATCATGCATTCATGGCAGGGTCACCACAACAGTATATGGTACCAATTACTGTGGGCCCTTTAAATTTTAAATAGATAATAAAACACAAATAAAACACAACGAAAACTTTGATTTACCTTATCAAAGTCATCACACGAATTGGAACTTTAAGCCAAGCAAACAAATTCCTCAAAGTTTTCGTTGTATTGTATTTCTGGATTCTGGACTGGAGTATGCATCTGTTTTTTTTAAATGCCGATTTCTGCTAGAATGAAGCCTTATTTCGTCAAGGACATGGTAATTAAAGTTGCTTAGAATCTTTGGTGGGAAAAATTGGGAAAAATTTAAAATTTTCAAACGGCTCTGGAGGCTGGAATGATCAATATTTTGCAACGATTTTCACAAAGAAATGCTTCTTTTCAAACATACTATTTAATAAAAAAAAATTGTCAAAATTTTTCTAAGTGTCATCTTTTTTTGCAGTTTTCCTCTGAGCCGAGCCTAAACTAAGGACTTTTTCGCTATGCTTATGGGGAGATAATCGATAGGCCGAACAAGGGGCATTATGAAAAGTGGAAACAAATTCCGAAAAGTCTTAAAAAAAAAAAAGTTGAAAATATAATTGAAAAAATTTTCGCGGTAAATCACCTATTATCCCCCATTTGACCCCCTAAACCCATTAAACTCCCTCCTATCCTCTTACGGAAACCGAAAGTAACAATTGCAAAAAAAAGTTCGCCGAAAAATTTGACCATATTAAATGTAAGTTTGTAATCATTTTTCATTAATATATGCTTTTAAGTAACCCAAGTTGCTAATGGAATGGTTTTTTATTACAAAACAAACTTAAAAGGTCATGAATTATGCATATCCAATTTCATGTAATTTGATATTAAAAATGCACCTCTGACTTCTTAATTAAAACTGGATGAAATGCAAAAAAATTTTAAAAAATCGGAAAAATTTCCAAAAATTCAAAAAAATATTATAAAATCTTAAAATATTGTTTTCTTTTGGAACTTAACATTAAAAAAAAATTTTAAAAAAATCTAAAAAATGTTTAAAAATCCTAAAAACCCCTTATAAATCCTAATATGATTATTTAATTTCTTTTCTTCACAGATTTCATTCAATGTCAAGATTTCTTGTCGATAACCCTAATCCTAGGGTTTTTAATGAAAGAGCAGCACTAGACGAAGTCGATGTGGACCACATGCCATTTAACATCCCGGTTGACCATGAGGAAACACTTGCTGTGCTGCAGTCGTTTGTTGGCAGCTCTCTCCTGTTGTCAACAAATAAGGGAAGATTTTGGAGACATGAAGATTGGAGATACGTAGTCCTGACATGGCATCCCATAATTACCCTCATCCCATTCTCAGTCCAGACGAAAGTGCAGTTGTGCCAATACTTTAGCGCAAACAGGCACATTGTGCTTACGTCTGGTGATGAGGCCACCCACCTTATTAGAGGAAGCAACAAACCAGTTCCCGCAACAACATTCCTTCTTGCCCTCATCGATGCTGGTGTTCAATTTGTCAGATTAGTGAATTTCGGCATGAAGATGAAACTCAACACCTTCCCCGACCTGCCAAGGGACCTCCTCGACTGCGCAGCTGAAGACAATGGCTTCCCACCTAACGAATGGGACATTTCCCTATCCCGCCGTACCGATTACCTATACCTAATAAAACCCCATGCCCCATATCCTCTCCACGTAACTCCTAACCCATATCCAATCCTTACGCCACTAAACCCGAATCTTATGTGTTAAGAAAATGAAATACATGCTTTGGAGAGGTCGAACACTGCCAAAGGACTGGTAAATGTATGCAAAATCCCCAAACTTGTCGATAACAAGAGAAAGGGAAAAGGGTTAATCACAAGCACAAAGAGACCATCTTATCCTGAAGCAAGAGCAAGATGAAGCAGCAGATGGTTTATGCATTTGATCGGTCTAATCAAACCCTTGATTACTTGATCAGAAGAATGACAAATTGCCTGCCCTCTCTTGGTGAAGGGATAGCATCGGGGATGCAGATGCTTGCAATGGCATTGGCTGGGCAGCAGCAACAAGTCTGTGCCCCATACCCTCCTCACCCATATCAACCCAATTTTAATAGCATGCCTAACCACTATCAGCCAAGACAGCCACAACCCTACCCACACGCAGGAAATGAACTTCCAAGGGATGTTTACCAGTTTCTTGCAGATCAAGAAGAACATGATCTTCATTCTCTATGAAGTTAAAAGGATAATTTGGGGATTATTGGTTTCATTTTCAGGACTATTAGATACTTTTATTTATTTTAACTCAAACAGTTTTGTTGAGTAATGAACAATAGAAGGGGATGCACACTTGGAACGAACACTGTTAGTGGAGACACATGTTCACTGAGCATTTTTAAGCTGCAATATTAAGATATACTACAGGGTTTATCAGAAAAAGTAGACAATTTTGAAACGGCTCTTAATTTCACAAATCCGTTCATGTCATGAATTTTAAAAATAGCTTGCACTGGGAAATTTAAAAGGTGAAAACACATTTTGAGTTCATGGGCGAGAAATTTGTTATGTGTTGTATTAATGGTCCAAATATCAGAAAATTTGCTCAATTTTAAGTCCTTCAAATAGCTGTTGAAACTTTCATTTTTTGGCACCAATGCCTTTCACGCATGCTTAAGTCTTGCATTTACCTAACTTGCATATTGTTATTGTAAAAAAAGTAAAATATTAATTGATACTCTGATGACGATTTTGTAATAAAATCAAAATATCATGAACTCACTTATGTCTTGTTTTAACCTATATTTTGGGTTTCAAGATGTTAATCTTCAGATTATGTATTGTTTTGAGCTCCATAAACTAATAGTTTCTTTTTGAAAGATTATTATTTATCCTAATTTCATTATTATGAACTGTAACAAACCAATCACAGTTTCATAGTTTTACTTAGGAAACTATACAAAATGCACAAGATGAACTTTGCACAATGTGAAGCCATCAAATAGTATTTATAATTATTTAAATTTATTATATAATATTACAGTGTGATGTAAAGTTGAGTTGATATTATGGCAAGGAAAGACGTGTTCATAACCCTTAAAGATCATA